GGTAATTTCTTTTTTTCGACCAAACTCCCCCTGTAGGGGGACTGGCCCGACCTAACACTGGACCGAACCAGGAAAGCAACGACGAAGTGGTTTTCTAGACGGACCCAAGACGTTGGAAGAGGGCCCTGGGCGGCTCAAAGCGGCTCCGAGAAGCCTACCGACGGCCCCGAGAGCCTCCCTCACCATGATGCTGCTCCTGCGAATCGGCACGAATCGGCGCTAGTCGACGCTAAATCGACTCTAGTCGACGCTACCACATCTACGATCAAGCACTCATCGACGCTGGTACACTCTAACCAACGCGAATGCACGCTAATCGAAGGCACACGAGGCTCCCATGATATCCTACTGAAGGATGGCCAAAAGAATTAAGCGCTAACGCGAAACTGCGGTGGGAGGACAAGGGGAGGAGGCCGCGGACGGCCCCGAACCCTCCGAGCGTGAGGTGTCTCGGGCTGTGCCGGCGCAGGCCCAGGTCCCTGTAGCTGTCGGAGCGCCCCGGCGGTCGGCACATCCAAACCCAGACCTCCGGCTGCCCCGATGTTTGTCGATGCGTGGGCCCTGGATCGGGAGCGGCCAAGAGGGGTGTGTGCAAATCATGACCAGCGGCATGTGCGCGGCCCAGCGGGGGGGCCGGGGACGTAATGAATCAAGAAGAGGCGCCATGAAATCTGGGGAGATATCATGGCCCCCGCCATGATATCCACCCCCCGCTAGTCATCACCCCCCTCTTGTCCGCCCCCGAGCCCTGGAGGTCCGGACCACTTTCCCGGGACCAGTTTTTCGTACCTGAGTCGTTTTTTGGCGCTCTGGAGTCTCGGCGAAGGCCCCCAGAGGCCGAAGACTGTCAAAAACCGCCTGCTCCACTTCTTGTTGGAGCGTCGGATCGGAGGGAAGGAGGTGAGTCGTACAAAAGTCCGAGGGGACACGGTAGCCGAGTCATCCACGGGTGGCCAGGCCACGACTCAGCGACAAAGACGTCGCGCGAAAGCAATCGAAGGTCCGATTGATTTAAGTCGGGCCTGTCCCCCTACAGGGGGATTTTCGACGAAAAATTCGCCGGCCCAACGGGCCAGAGGCGTGCTAAGATCTCCGGTAACTGCTAAATAATACTTCTACTTCGCGCGCGCGGGGCGGCCCCTGGGGGTCCCCGGACGAAAAGTACCCCGGGCGATCCCCGGCAGGGTCGGATCAGAGATGGTTTTCCTCCTGGGCGCCGCCCCCGTGGCCCTCCAGAGAGCCCCAAGAAGGGCCACGAGGCCGCCAAAAGCCCTCCAAGATGGTTCAAGAGTGCTCCGAGATGCCACACGATCGTTCCAAGACGCCCAAGATGGCCCCCAGCCTCCAAGAGCACTCACCAGAGGGCCCCAAGAGGCACAATTCAGTACTTTTCCTTAGACTTTGGGAAGAATTTGGCGTGTCCATCTTTTCGGCTTCCCGACGCCCCAAGACGGCCCAAGAGGCCCCCAAGATCGCCCCAAGAGGGCCCAAGAAGCTCCCAAGAAGGCCCCAAGATGGCCCAAGAGGGCTCCAAGACGGCCCCAGAGGCATCCAAGACGGCCCAAGAGGGGCCCAAGAGGGCCCCAAGCGATGCCCCAAAGGGGAACACAAAACAAAACTCCGAGCCCTCGGCCTTAAGAAGCCCCCAGGAGGCCTCAAGAGGCCCCTGAGAGGCCCCCAAAGCCCCCAAGAGGCCCTCAGGAGGCCCCCAAGCGACGCTGAACAGGCCCCCCAGCGGCCCCAAGAGGCTCAGTCATGCGAAATGGGCCGGCGGAATGAGCGAAGCGATTCATTTAAAAAATACGCCAAAAATGGTAAAACAATAATCCAAAAATAGTCTGGGGACTATTTTCGGAGCATTTTTGTTTGTCTTTTTGAGGTATTTTGGGGGTATTTTTCATTTTTCGTCGAAAATCCCCCTGTAGGGGGACACGCCCGACATAACGATTGATCCACGAGCGGCCACGATGGATCCACGCGTGGCCACGGTCCGCGACTGATCCACGGGGGGGGGGCGGCGCACGTGTCGCTCGAGACGGGCACGGAGCTCCGGCCGCCGAGGGAGGGTGGAAGGAGGTGGAGGGCGGAGGCGGCGGAGAGGGAGGAGGAGGAGGAGGAGGAGGAGGAGGAAGGAGGAGGAGGAGGGAGGAGGAGGAGGGGAGAAGGACACGGGGGAGAGGGCAGGACGACGGGGGAGGAGGCGAGGAAGGAGGAGGAGGGCGAGGAGGAGGAGGAGGAGGAGGAGGAGGAGGAGGAGGAGGAGGAGGAGGAGGAGGAGGAGGAGGAGGACGGGTCGCCTACGCCCTTCGGAGAAACCCTCCATCCCCCCCCCCTGGTCCACGCGCAGCACCGACCGACTGTCGTAGGGCACGCAGTAGACCCGCCCGCCCCGCGAGGGGGCGCGAAGCGCGTGGGCCGAGCTGGAGGGCGACGGGGCCGCCGGGCAGGACCGACGACGCGAGCAGCTCGTGAAGTCCACGTCGGTGGGCAGAGCTCTCCACAAGCACCACCGTAAGTGGGAGGGGGAGCGGGTCCTCCTCCTCCTCCTCCTCCTCCTCCTCGTCCTCTTCGTCCTCCTCCTCCTCCTCCTCCTCTTCCTCGTCCTCCTCCTCGTCCTCCTCCTTCTCCTCCTCCTCCTCTCCCCCTCCTCCTCCTCTTCGTCCTCCTCCTCCTCCTCATCCTCCAACTCATTCCCCCCTCCTTCTTATGGTGGTGGTGGCGGAAAACAGGCCCAACACTCGTGAAGTCCACCTGTCCCTGCTGCCCGAGTTCTGTGGGCCCCCCTTTGGGGGGCCGCAGGCTGTGCACTCGCACCAATCCCGGGCCCGACGGCGACGGCGCAGGCGGCAAATAGCGATGACGACGCCGGCGAAGATGGCGACAACAAGAATGACCATGACGAGGGTAGGAGTCAGAAGGCAGGAGGCGGGAGGCAGGAGAAAGGGGTGGGCATTGGGCGCGCAACGTAGATCGCAGGATTCACAATGCAATCCCACCTGCCCGCTGGGCGCCTGGTGGCCTGGAAGTGTTCTCGAATCTCCTCTCCAACCCGTGAAACCCCTGTGAGAACCGTCTGGTAAGGTTTACCCAACGGTCGACACGTCGGCGGACCGCTTGCCGTCCGGAGCCGTTTATGCCGGCGTGCCAAAAAACAAAGAAAAACATTGCTAATTTGCCGTGCGTTGCCTCCAAGACGGGTGCTGCAAGGGCAATGCATTCCGCCATCGCTCACCCCTTCTTCTGAAAGGAGTCCTAACAGCATGCAGGAGCACCCCAAGGCGATTCTAGGTGCCATCCAAGACAACTCAAGACGACCTCAAGATGCCTCCAAGAGCCCTCCAAGTGGATCAAAGAGCGAAGAGGCTTCGAAGAGGATCCCTAAATGGCCGAGGGATCCCTTAGACACCAATCGGCGCCGAAGACGCCCCCAGAAGGGTAACATGACAAGAACTGTTGCGCTCCTCGGATACCCCCCAAAGGGGCTTTCAGACCGAGCAGCTTCCAACACTGGATAATAGGCTCCTGAATCGGCCGCAAGGAGTCCTCCGCCTCCCCCGTCCTTCGCTTTCTTCCTCCTGCTCCCCCTCCCCCTCCTCCCTCCCCCATTCATCCCCTGCCTCGGCGGTCGGTGTTATCTGGATGTATCCTGCGTGAACAACCGGACGGTTGCATTCAACAGGGGGCCGTGATCGAACAACTGGCCAGACCAAGGCTGGTGATCCCAATGCAACGGGTGCACCACGAAGCCGTCTAGGGACCTCACAGACCAATCCCAGTACACTGCGAAACGCTGCGCATAGCATGTCACTGATAAAAAGGGGAGGAGGGGGAATGAGGACGGAGGGGGAGGAGGTATGGGAAGGGAGGACGATCCTGAAGTGAGGGAGCTGCATGCGCAAGACGCTGCGATTTGAAAGGCCCATGCGAACGAAACAGTACACTCAAATCCTGCGCGGCGACAACGCGCAGGAGAGGCGGGGCAGCGACGGGCCAGGTTCAGGGCATAGAGGAGAGCGGCACTCATATTGAAGAACTGTGGGTGGGGGGTGCAGGATTTGGGGGGGGAGAGAGAGGGGGAGGCGGACCTGAAGCATCGGCGGCTTATGGGGTCCTGAGGGAGGGGGCTCTAAGGATAGGAAATCGATCGCGAGTTGAACCTTCATAGTTTGAGGTTCTCGCCCTCGAGGCCCCATCTCCCTCAGGGCCCCGTCTAAGGGGAACAAAGAAAGGCGTGGCGACGAGGGCCTCCCAAGCGGCCCCACGAGGCGAAACCGACGAGAAGGGCAGCGGCATCGGTAGCTCTCCCTCTCTGAGATAAAGACGAAGCCAGGACGAGGACAACTCCGCTTGGGCTGAAGCTCTGAGATATGGCGGCTCTGGAAGATGCCTCTGGCGCCGCGGCCTTCTCAGAGCGTTCTGGAACGCTCTGGAACCGATGTGTCATCGTCCCAGCCCCGATGACATCTGGGAGCCGCCCAAAGCAGAGGCGGGGCGGGCGCAGGCAGGCGCCCGGCGGCGGAGGCTGGTGGCGCCGAGCCCCCCTCGGGTCGGGCGAAAGGGGGGGATAGCAAAGGGGGGGGTTGAGAATCAGCTCGCGCAGCTGATTTTCCCGGCGCCTCCCAGCGCCAGAGGCGGCCATGTATCGAGGAATGGGCCCCTCGGTGCGGCCGAAACCAGCTGCATGCAGCAGATTTCGTAACCCCCCCTTTCCAATCCCTCCCTTTCGCCCGGCCCGAGATGGGGGCTGAATGATGGAGGAAGGGAGGAGGAGGAGGAGGAGGAGGAGGAGGAGGAGGAGGAGGAGGAGGAGGAGGAAGAGGAGGAGGTACGAAGGTGGGAAGGAGGAGGAGGAGGAGGGAAGGAAGGAGGGAGGAGGGAGGGAGGAGGAGGAGGAGGAGGGAGGAGGGAGGGAGGAGGAGGAGGAGGAGGCCCGGGAGCAGGCCTCCCGTGGGCGCGCAGGGAGCCGCCGGAGGGGGGGGGGGGGGAAAGCGCCCTCGGGCCGCGGCGGCACACGATATCGGCGCCGGCCGCCCCGGCTCATGCCATTGCCGGCCAGCACGGCGCCGGACCACTTGCACTCCTCGCGGGGCGGACGGGGAGGGAGTGACACGGCGGAAGACACCAAGACACGACGAGAGCAGACAGAGGGAGAGACAGGAGGGAGAAGAAGGGGAGGGAGGGGAAAAGAGGGAGGGGAAGGAGAAAAAACCGAGAGAAACCAAGACAAGAAAACAAGTGTTCGCCACTCAGGCCGGCTGGCCGCATCAGGGATCGGCGACACGCAAGAGTGACCCTGGGTACTCAGGATTTCGTGAGACAGGGGGGGGGGTCACATTGGGGGGGGGATCTGATTTGAGTTGTCTTGGAGGGCTTCAGTGGGGTCTGGACAAAAGGCGGCCCTTTCTGGCTGGTCTGGGGTGGTGGTCTAAAACTGCACGTCTGGGAGCGTCGTGACCCCCTCCCTTTTCTTACGAAATCTGGAGTCGAGTGACCTTTAGTGCGCGGGCTGGCTGATGGGGCGCAAAGTGGCCAAGTCCAAGGGCGCAAGCAGCCACCATCGCATCGCGCTCAGCAGTCGGGGGGACCCCCGTGAGCCCGCAGCAAAGGTCACTCCGGCAAACGG